AAGCCGCCATGACAGCTGGACAAACCCCGCCCACCAGCCGGAGAGACCTGACAGCCCACAACCAGACGACACGATGTCCGCCGCCAAAGCCACTCCCACCTCTACCCGATCCAGGCCGTCCAAAGGCTATGGTCCGCCCTTTTTAGGGCAGACCGAGATCCCTTACCTCACCCTGACAACAGCAACAAAACCTCAGGCGTAATACGATCGCCGCACAGAAACGACAATAACTGGAGAACAAACTCCAGGCAACAAAACACCGCTTCGATATAACCAACGCTCAGTATAGGAGCCGGTTGAAAGAGGCAAGAAGTTTTTCGTTTTTTTTCCAACACCAGTTACCAACGCCTACGGGGCAGTCCCCCATAGGCTACTGTGGCGAGCCCTTCGCATGTTTCACATACCGGCACAGATCAATCAAATGGTCGAGCAATATTTCTCCAAGTTCGCTTTGCGCTTCTCTATCTCGACGTTTACCACGAGGTGGACTGCGTTGCAGATTGGGATAGCTATGGGGTGTACGATCTCACCTATACTGTTTGTCATGGCAATGCAGATCATGTTAGACGGGGCGGCCGGCTAGGGACAGGGCCTTCAAATTGGGGACCACTGGATGCCACCATTACGTGCCTTTATGGATGACACGACTATTATAACGGGCAGCGAGGAGTCTGCCCGCACGATCCTGGAAAGATTGGACGCGGTGGTCCAATGGAGCGGTATGCAGTTCAAACCGCAGACGTCTGTCAATCAATAAGGGTCGGGTGGTGGCAACCAGTTTTACGGTGGCAAGGAACAAGATCCCCACGGTTCTGGAGGAACCGGTGAAGAGTCTCGGTCGCGTTTACGATTCGAAGTTATCTGATAGAGCAGAGGTCCGGCGAATACACGAGTCACTGGCTACAGGCCTGCTCGCGATCGAGCGATGCAGGCTGGTCGGAAAATTCAAGGTATGGTGTCTCCAATTCATGTTGATTCCGAAACTCCTATGGCCACTGTCAGTCTTCGAGGTGACGATGACTGCAGTGGAAGCCATGGAGAAAAAAAATCAACACAGCCTTGAGAAAGTGGATTGTTGCACCGACGTGGCTCTGTATTGCAAACAGGCTAAGCTGGTACTTCCGTTCAAATCGATAACCGAAGAGTTTAAAGTCGGCAAGGTAAGACTCGCCATGCTTTTGCGCGAGTCTTCAGACCCAAATGTCATCGCTGTCCAGCCCGCTCTAAAGACTGGAACCAAGTGGAGAGTCCTCGATGCGATAGAATCTGCCCAGAATGCACTAAAATTGAGAGAGATAATGGGATACACACAAACCGACCGTCGAGGCCTAGGGCACGGGAAGGTCAATTGGTGGTCAAAGGCCTCAGCCAAAGAGCGCCGAGACATGGTAATACAAACGATGAAAGACAACGAAAACGAGGTTCGGGTCCAGAAAGCAGCCCAGCAGTCGCAGCAGGGCCATTGGGTCGGCCTGGAGAGCGCATTGCCAAGAAAACTCACATGGGGTGAGATCTGGCGGATGACCCTGCTGCGACTGAGCTTTATCGTTCGTTCGGCGTACGATGTATTACCGTCCGGTGTTAACATGGTTAAATGGTCTGCGACCAACGATCCGACTTGCCCGTTGTGCAAATCAAAGCAAACTCTTGAGCACGTCCTGTCCGCGTGCAGGAAAGCTCTAGGTCAAGGCCGATATACCACAACAAGGTGCTAAAAGAGTTAGCAGCCGTTGTCGACCAGGCTAGAATGAGGGCTAATGCCAGAGCCAGTTCTATTATCGTCCCCATTCGTTTCCTCAAGGCTGGGCAGGTTCCAAAAGGGAAGGTCAACCAAAACGCATTCGCTCCATCTGTGCTAGACTCTGCGAGGGACTGGTTACTGGCGGTTGATCTGCCAGGCCATGAACGGTACCCCGAGTTGATCCGTAAAACCGGCCTGCGACCGGACATCATTCTCCATTCTGCGCAAAAACGGCAGCTCATCCTGATTGAGTTGACTGTCCCGTTCGAGTCGCGTATGGAGGAGAATCATTTGTACAAGCTCGAGAAGTACAGTGATTTAGCAGCCGGTTTGAGGAGAAACGAGGCTTACACAGTACGGGTGTTTGCCGTCGAAGTGGGAGCGAGAGGCCTCGTTTCCACTTCGCTCTACAATGTGGTGAAAGAACTAGGATTGCGCGGTAATGAACGGAAACGAACACTAAAAAAACTGGGAGAGGCAGCCGAAAGGGCCTCTAGCTGGCTTTGGACGCAGCGCAACAACGTAGGGGACGGGCCTCGGTGAACTGGTCCGGGTGTCTAGTGGAAACGAGTTTCTCACCCCTTTGAAAGTCCATCGTGTCCGAATTGTCTGCCAGTGTTCCTCTGCCAACTGCTAATAAAAGTCCAACATGTGTCCGGTAAACCAAAGTAAGCTTGTCGCTCGGTCGTCCAGGCATGCTGACTGCTTTAATTAGGCTGCCGTGGCTGCTTCTTATCTCACAGTACCTTCTTCGAAACCACCAAGTCGTCTTGTCTCTGGCCGAAAGAACAACACCATCCGGTAATTCCGTGCAGCGGGGAACCAGCCCTGAGCTTCATGAACTCAGGAGGGCCCACCTCCGAATGCGTCTAGGAATCGTAGGCCGAAACTCGTGTCGACGAGGATAATTTCTACTGACGACTGGTAGATCCCCGCTGTACTTGCTCCCTGTGAGTTTATTCATATAGGACCGCCGCCAAAAGCCAGGGTGGAGCTTCAAAACAACGAAAAATTGCATCCCACCGGGGGACGACTGATGTTTGACTAATAATAATAATAATTATAGTAATAATAATAGTAATTATTAATATAAGCAAGTAAATGTTATCCCACCCGGACATCACACAGAGCGAATAAACATTCGATGACACAAAGGGCCACCATGCGAATGAGGATCACCCGTGAAGTCTCAAAATCAGCGTTCAGCCGTCAGGCTTTATTTCAGGCCCGGCTATATTTAGGGCCCAGGCAAAAAGAGATTGAGTATGAGTTTACAATAATAATAATAATAATAATAATAATAATAATAATAATAATAATAATATAAATAAATATACTAAGCACAACTGCCTTTCTGTATTTTGTGTGTTCATTTTAAGTCAATTGTTCACACCTCCCTTACCGTGACCAGTACATGGGTAAAATATTCTTCTTCTTCTTCAGCTATCTCTGGTCATGCGCATAATCCACTGTAGGCCATAAACTGGGATGTCTTTTCAAGGTCTCTTAGGTTTCCCCAAAGCTTAGTTGACAGTTCTACTGGGTGTTGCCATATGTTGCTCTGCAGCTCCGCCAGGAGAGGAGAGTCTTGCAGGACATGTTCTGGAGTCTGTTCAGAACGAATACACTGGCAGAGAGCTGTTTGGCTCATAACTAATTTATATTTGTGTTTATTCAGTCTGCAGTGTCCAGTACGTAAGCGAAAAACTGTGACTTGGTCTGTTCTGTTCAGGTGTTTCAGAAAATCTTTTTCGTAGCTATAACCAGTGTTGGTTTTCCAATCTGTTTCTGATTTTCTCTTAATGAGAGTTTTGACTTCTGGAAAAGATAGTGGCTGGTAGGTCTATGGTTTTTTACTGCCTTCTTTGGCTAAAACATCAGCGCTTTCATTGCCTTTGATGCCACAGTGACAACATAGCAAGTTCCTTTGTTAGACTTTGTAGTGTGCTGTCGGTGGGTTTGGTCTCAAGCGCCTGTGTGGCTGACAGTGAGTCAGTAAGAAAAACCATCCTGCCTGCGGTGATTTAAAGATTGTTCATATACTGTGCTGCCATCAATAGGGAGAGCTCTGCCTTGTAGTTAGAGCAAGTTTGTCCGGTGGGGGCTGCTAGAGACACAGTAGTGGCATCTGGGTGTTTTATGTAAACACCTGCACCACCATTCGTAATTGCTTCTTTTGCTGATCCATCCGTGTAGATTCTCATCCAGCTGTCCCGTGGGAACATGTTGAGGTGTTCCATTGTGAGTGCTTTCTTTACTAAAGTGGGCTCAGCATCTTTGTTTCCCAGGTTCGGGATGGATGTTGGCACATTGAGTGTCAATAATTCTGAGTCCCAGAGACCGAAAGATAGCTCTTCATGTGTACATTGTTGGTTAAGTAGTGAAGAGAATGACTTTCCAAATTCCTTAGTTAGATGGTTTAGGCCGGTGCGCTTTATTCGTTTTTTTTTGGGGGGGGGGGGGGGGGGGTGGGGGGGGGGGGGGGGGGGGGGGTCCTGGCTGCCAAATTTTTCGTGTAGCATTCTCTTCATTAAAATATTCAATTGCATTTATAGTTACAATGTGAAATATGTTTACTTATCCTAAGAGCCAAAATAACGCTGAAATGTTGAACAATGTATAGTTAGTAGTCAATAAGGTAATATGTTAGATATGTATTTGACTATCACCATCAACAATATCTTCATCTTCCACTTTTGCCATTAGATGTGGTTGCAAAATAATAGTAAAAGTCCAGATCTTCATGGCTCGCACGGCTCATCTCATTAAAGTCTTTAATGCTAGGGGACTGAGTGGTCTTGAGGCATGATGTCCGCCTCGAGTGCTGGAGGTCCAGGGTACAGACCCCGGTGAAGGCTGGATTGTTTTTACGTGGACTTCACGTGGAAATGTTCCCTTATTTCTGGATAGGAAGATCGGACTCCCGTTTGTATTGTTGCGCATGTAAAAATCCTTTGGCAATTGGAAATCGAAAAGAGAAACCTAACGGGGCTGCCCGGGCAAAATGTGGAGTTTAAAAATCTACACAAAGTATTTCAGGATCCTCGTTGGTGCTACGGAGATTATTTGGAGTCAGACATGAGTTAGAAGTAGAACGGAGCACTTATGGGCTACTACCTTTGTACCGTGATGCTGATACATTGCTGAAATCTAAACCTAGTCTTTAATGCTATAAATCCTTGTGCTCTAGGTGAAGTGTCTACCTTTATAGTTTTGTATCTAATAGGAAAATCCAATTCATTTCAGAAACATTAGGGCCATGTTAGGAACAACCTATGTTGCCCAAGTCTTCATGGGGACAACTGATTACGTCATGCTCGCTATAATGCTGCTGGTGTCTATGAGTATAGGCGTCTTCTTCGCAATATCAGGAAGAAAAAACACAACTAAGGTAAACAACTGTCTGGCTGGGGAAGCTGTAATAGGTTTCACAACTCTTGCTGCTATTTAAAATTGCTAAAATTCCAGAATAATTACTTTTCAACAGTTTAAACATGATTAGCTTAATTATCGCATTCCAATTCGTCCATTCTGAATACAGCTAAGCTCTTGGATTTTACCCGCATTGTGATGGTCCTTAATAATTAACACCGGGCTCTCAGATCTTCTACCTCTTCTGCCTTTTATATCGCAGTGGAGCATAGGTCTTCAGCAAACAGCTCTCGCCGTGTCCTTCTCATCTTTTTAACTTCACTCTCTTGCTCCCTTCGTCGTGTGTCTGAGTGTGTGTGTGCGTGCGTTTGTGTGCATGCGTTTGTGTGCATGCGTTTGTGTGTGTGCGTGTGCATGCGTTTGTGTGTGTGTGTGTGTGTGTGTGTGTGTGTGTGTGTCTGTCTGCCCTTCTTTTTCTATACCCATGTGGACTCCCAAGCAAAGATATTCTGGTTATGTTGTTCTGAACGTGTGTCCAACGCCGGCGTCTTTTCTTTACCTCTTTGTTTACTGGAGCTTGTTCAGTTCTTTCTCGAAGCTCACATCATGTGATTCTATCATACTGAATCATTCCAGCCATTCTCCGCATGCACCAGTTAATAACTGTTTGTAGCTTATTAGTAACTGTTTGGGATATTTTCAGTTTTTTTTTTTTTTTTTTTTTACTTACGCCTAGATCTAGCCAAATGAAACTGGAAATACAAATGTATCCTGTAAAATAAAAAAAAAAAAAAAGGGGGGGGGGGGGAGGAGGCGGGGCGAGTGATTTTGATCACATAACCGATTGCAGGCATATTGATTCACACAATATGTGGATCTAGCACAATTTACCAAATACCAATATATATATATATATATATATATATATATATATATATATATATATATATATATATATATATATATATATATATATAGAGAGAGAGAGAGAGAGAGAGAGAGAGAGAGAGGGTGTTCCTTCGCTTACAGTATTTACTATTTGAAAGGTCAGAACGTCTGTTTTCCCTCTCCGAGCTGCTACAGGCAGGTTTGACCACCCATGCCACTTGAAGAGTCACATCCTGTAAGACAATCCGTCCTCTCTGAGTTTCGGGACCCCACTGTGGGCACACATACACATACAGACACATACATACACATACATGCACACAAAGAATTGACCTTCCGCGACCTGATAAGAATGTCGTAACAGTCGACTATTTAAGGGTAGTTCTTTTGAAGCTGGAGTGTATCGGCGACGGGATCGCATACTGGCTGGCCGGTGGTCAGCTTAGCCGTCAGTAGGGGCAGTATTTGTGTCTGTCTCCTTTGATCGCAACAACACTGCAAGAGTGCTTATTCAGGACTACTTGCTGGCCTGCAAAGCTATAGCCATCTTGGATCTGTTCACGTTTCCAGGCTTACATACTTTCTCAGGCTGATCTAGCTAAGAGGGGTGTCATGTTGTTCTGCTTTCTTCGAAAAGAATCTCTCGTGTGACCTTAGCTGAGGCTGTGGGCAGGAGGGGGGACGGGGGGCGGGGGGGGGGGTGGTGGTTGGAGTCAGTTCTGCATGGTCTGGGGTCGTTGAAAGCTGTGTCGTTTTGTACTATAGAACACGCGACATCTGCGCTGATGTAATTGGAGGGAAGACAACGTGACACCCCTCCGATGTAGAAGAGTCTGAGAAAGTATGAAAGAAAGGTCAGGTAGTGTGTAGATGGGCCTGGAAACGTCAACAGGTCAGCCATTTTATGTGGCACACATAACCCAGTCACAATTATAACCTAAAGCTCCCCCTTCCCGATAGGGATGCTGATTAAACGGGACGATTTTTTCCCGATCGCGAAGCAGCACAGGACAGGAAGTTGGAGTGTATCTTCCAGAAGCGATAAACTAACAGTCTGTATACAAATAAGCCAGGGTGTAAAAACGGATGTGCACGAAAATCTCAGCTTCTGGAACAAGATCAAAGTCCAGAAGTGGATAACTAGCATTTCCCGCCGGTGAATACGAAGAAGAAGAAGAAGTAACATGATCTAACAAGGCAAGACCCAGTTATCATGGTTAATCTCCAGATAAGTTATCATAGGGTATCGACGACCGCTACATCAAGTGATATACCCTGCAGTCCTACGTGGGTGTCATCTTTAAACTCAAGCATATCTTTTGCGTTCACCCTTTAAAAAAAAAATTGACTGTCACGTTGTGTTATGGTTATCGACATCTGCAGCCTCATCCTAAAGCTCTCAAGGCCTTTATTTGTCGCCTTTTACGATATTCTTGTTAAGGGCAAATCATCTAATTCACAACCCCCTCCCTCACCCATTACCCCCCCCCCCCCCTCGCAATGATGTCTCGGAAGCTGAATTAGCTTCTAAATTATTCATAAAATTGAAACTATTTTTTTTAAAAGGCTGAATACCTCCTGGGAAGTCGTCGACTGGGGATGTTGCCTGTTTGTCTCTCGTTATTCGCCACATTCTCATCAGCCATTTCTCTGCTCGGGGTTCCAGCAGAGGTCTATACCTATGGGACTATGGTCTTCTACACTGGAGTGGCTATAGTGCTTGCCTATCTGACAGCTATAGTGACAATTGTACCATTGCTTCACCCACTGAAGGTTACCAGTGTGTATGAGGTAAGTCTATTGTACTTTCCCATGGATAATGAGGTAATTTTGGTTTATTAAATAATAATTTAAAAAAAAAAAGATTATGATTGAAGGGAGCATCGTCATTGCATCATGTTCAATCCCATTTGGTTGGGTTTTTATCTCTATCTCTCTTTCTCTCTCTCATACTTTCTTTCCTAATCTCTCTTTTTATTATTTTTTTTCCCTCTGCATAGCCTAGAGCCGTCTGCCGGGAGCGCCATACAGAGTACAAATCCCTAACTTCATCCCCAAGGATCTCGTTAACATAGCAAACTGTAATCCGAACAAAGCAGTTTTTTAAACGAAACCAGCGCCGTGAGAGCGCAGGGTGAAGTGCTTAACAATTTAGACATGGATGACTCCCTCTGCTTGGTTTTCATAGTGTGTGTAATAATATTCTTACATAGGGCTCGAAGTCTTTTACGCCGTTCGACTCTATCCTAAGTTGGCTCTCTGGCTAAGTCGATGCGAACGCCTCGTAATGCCGGGATGCCGGGGTCGATCCCAGCTACAGGCCATGCGCCTTGCGTTGGTTTCGACATTGGTATCAAGAAAGCCGACCGCCCAGAAGCAATAGCAAACTACTAGACGTAAATTTGCCTAGAAAAACCACAAAACAACCAGGGACTGTTGGGGTTGGTTCTGCAACTCTATCCTATCCTGTGTATTTGACATCATGTATGTAGCATCCATCGGAGTGGCAACGAAGAAGCTGATGCTTTAGCCATAGAAACAGGGTCCAACCACAAATCTACCATTACTAACCTTTCCAGAAGTCAAAACTTCACATAAAGAGACGGATAAACACAGGTTCGAAAACAAACACTCGATATAATGATAAAAATAATTTCTTCAAACATCGGAGTAAAATTAGCCAAGTAGCTATATCTCGCTTGCATTCTGAACATTGCAGACTTAAAAGAAATTTCACATAAATTAGTTATAAGCTAAATAGCTCTATGCATGTGTCATCGTGCTGAACAGAAAACAGAACATATATTGTAAGACTGTCTTCTTCTGGAAAAGCTGCGAAGCAGTAGATCTAACAACTAAAAAGTAAAAGATCCCCCCCCCCCCTTTTTTTTTTCCACGCCTTTAAAGCGTATCGGGTATTTGGGAAGTCCGCCCATAATTTTACAGAACATCGGTACTAGGTGGGTAATGCAGCATTACACAGGCCGTCCTTACTTCCCCAGGACAGCCATTTTGGTACCTATTTTAGGCTGGGTCGACCTGCGACGCCCCATACCATGATAATGAAACAGGCGCTGGACGACTGTTATATAAATTGGATTAGGCTTATTTAAGCGAGCTAAAAACCTGGCCAACTTGGGGTCAGGAAGTGATAAAACAGACGGGCGGGAGTGGTCAGTTTCGCTCTCTTAGGCCTCTGCTTTTCAGACGAGTAACATGTAGTTTTGATTTGTCAGTTGCGTTCAATGGTTTAGCGCAACGCGGGTTGAGGTGTGAAGGCAGAGATATGTTCCATTTGTTGTAGGGTATTTTCGAACACGTTGTGAATTTTAATGCATTATATTTTGTGAAGACCTTAGATTATGTTCAGTAAAATAAATAGATGTTGAATGTGATAATTATAGTTCCATTTGCATTTGCTTCAGATTAGGGCTTGTCGTTAGTGTGTGCGTAGTTTGTTTATTTGTTGCCTGGCTGATTAGATTTTACACAGAAGATCTCGTGTCTGGACTAAAATATATCTGTTTCTAGTCCCCAGATAACAAACTGTTTTTTTTTTTTTTTATCTTGGTACTTAGCGCTTCTCCAATCTAATACAAGTGGCGTCGTCGGCAGGATTGGTGGCCATGATGTGTATTGTGTCTAAGTCTAGTTAGTTCTGGTTATCCTAGCGATTTATAGTTTTATATTGGCTTTGAATGGCGCCCACGTATGTGGCTCTTTTATCGCAGATTTTGGGTATGGTATTTGTTGCTTTTCTAGTTCTCCGACAGTTATCGAGTTATTGTACTTTTTTCAGTTATTGTTAGAGAAGGTGGCTAGTAGTTTTCCTCGAGTAGGTGCGAATCTTGGATTTAGAAATAGCTAGCCGACCCAGTGGGGCAGATTCAGTTGAAACTCCTAAGCAAGATGGAGGAGAGCACTTGTGCGAGCAGTAACGTGCACAATGAAGGTAGTTCTCTGACCTCGGTGATGGAAGGGACCTGTTTGCCAGACAGACCAGGGTACAGTCGTGTCGTTATGTTACCAGAGCGCGTAAACATAACCCACTTTGATGGGACAGGAGGCCCCACTGTTACAAACGATTTTGTTCGACAAGTGAGAGCCGTGTTTAGAAATGAACGAACGTGTCCGGCAGACCAAATTGATGTAGTGCTCGATCACGTCACAGCGAGTGTCAGACAAGAGTTAAAGTTACATCAAATAGAGAATGCAAACGATAAGCTAGATATTATTCAACACGTGTATGGAGAGCATCGAAATGTCGTTGAACTAGAATTTGAGGTTTTTTCCCTACGGCACGGTGAGAATAACAAAATCCGTTGCTTTTCTCATCGTATACATGCGGCATTTGAGGCGATAATTACCGCACAGAGGAAAGAGAACATGACGCTATTTGATAGGTCGATCTTGAGAGATCAGTTTTTCTTGTGGTTAGTGTGTGCGTAGTTTGTTTATTTGTTGCCTGGCTGATTGGATTTTACACAGAAGATCTCGTGTCTGGACTAAAATATTTCTGTTTCTAGTCCCCACTATTTTCCTTTATTTTTATCTTGGTACTCCGTAGCAACTGCGAGGATCCTGAAATACTTTGGGTAGGGTTTTAACTCTAAATTTTGCCCAGGCAGCGCCATTAGGCTACTTTTTTTCAATTTCCAATTGCCAAGAGATTTTTTTTATGCGCAACAATACACACGGGTGTTCTTACTACCCAGGGGTTATTTGCGTATCCTTTACAAGACGTTGCAGAACCAACCCCAGCAGCCCCCGGCTGTTGTGTGGTTTCTCAAGGCAAATTTACGTCCAGTAGTTACTACCCAGTGACTAGGGGAAATTACCAGAAGTCCACGTGAAAAAATACCAGCCTTCTCCGAAACCTCCAGCACTCGAGACAGACGCCATGCTTCGAGACCACGCAGGCTCCCCTCACCCAATATGTGTTTGTGCGTGTGTGTATTTATATTCAGAGTGAACAAACAGTTCCACAACTTAGTTAGCAATTTTATGACCAAGAAATATTTATTTAATGTTTTCACACATACTCACACATATATTTATATATACACGTGCACAAATGTGTATGTGTGTGTATGTATGTATGTATGTATGTATGTATGTATGTATGTATGTATGTATGTTGAATATCAGGTAGGCCCCGAACATTAAGTATATTTAAAAAAAAAACGAATTCATTTTACAGTATCTGGAAATGAGGTTCCAGTGGCGTTTTATGAGGCTTCTGGGAACATTTATTGGAGTAGTTTCAAGTGTAAGTGAATTTGATTTTGTTGGGTTTTTTCATTGATTGTCGTCTCAATAAAGCGATTACCGTCTTCTCTCTGTGTGTGTTCGTGTTTGTGTGTGTTTGAACCTTCTGTAAACCCCAGCGAAAAGTTCTGGTTTTTCGCTCACTTCTCGAGTTTTGTTCCTGCAATTGAATATTACCGGCACATCCGTTTTACAGGTATGGTTTATTTGCATGCAGACTGCTGGTCGTTGCCTATTAGGTGGATGGTGCTCTCTGACTTTGAATGGATCGTCTCTTCTGTCTACTAAGGTCAGACTCTCGTAGGTGAACCTATTTCTAGGATGACGGCAGAGAGGGGTAGATAAGTCCCGAACCCTGATCCTGACCCACGTGTAGTCCTTTGTATTATCCTAGTGAAGCAACACAATAGAGTGTTTCAGAGCATTCTGAAGCAAACCAATCAAATAC